ATTCCCAGTGCTATTTCACCTATTTTTCTTTACCTATATTTAACTTTCCAAGCATTGTTCATATACAATGTTTACATATATCGCAATATTATGCTTATTAACACAATCTCCTAATATGAAACCTGTAGACATCGTGTGCTAGTTATTGAGTACTTTATGTAAAGGTTTTATTTGCTTTTAGCAGATCTGTCTGACTCCACTAACAGCATATTGTTGCTTTTATGGGATAAAAGAGCTAGGGTACAACTAGGGTATATCTATGTGCATCAAACAACTGATATAATTCCATTAGTTCATTTGCTTTGCGTTAGCCAGATGAATCCATGACCATGTACTGCAGCAAGATGGGTAGGTCATGAAATAATTAAGTATTTCACACAACCAACCCTATCAGATCTTTTTGTTTAACCATAAGGATTCAGTGCAATTGCTTCTGCCTATGATTTTGGTAATGTTCTGATAATGTCTGCACACACAGAATGCAACAGACAATTGAACTCATGGCTCATATAATTTAGGAAGAATTACAAAATGTAATAGAGACATTAATAAATTATTGCATTTGGTAGTACAGTTTCCTCCAAATATTTAAGTAACTTCATCTACCTTCTCCCTTACTTTATGTGCAGACATCCTATCCACAGAAGTATTTGTTAGTGTACTGCTTATATTTATGGAAAAGTCATTAGATGATTTAAGGGGGAGGATGGCATGTCCTCTAGACATTATTTAGGGTTGTTTTTGTTTTTGTTTTTAAGCCATTTCATGTAAGTCACCTTTATTGTGTTCCTATGTTAAGACTCCTTGTTAAATTTTTTTAATGAAAAAAAAGATTTAGTAAATTTACAAAATCTACTAAATTTACAAAAATTTAGTAGATTTACAAAATCTACTAAATTTATGTAATTTAATAGATATGCCTTGTTGAAATGTATGTGTTGCTTCAAGCTCCATCATTGTAGTGCCTGCATATTTTCTTAAGAGCATTGGGTTAAATTTTGGCATGGGTCTTCAATTTTAAAATTTTATTTTAGAGTGGTTGCATAGGACTTTTCCAGTGGCTAAAACATTTTTTATGTCATTTATCATGTTGACTAAAAGTGTTACTGACACTGAAAATCTGTTTATAGAGATTTTGTGACAATAAGAATAAGCAGTTTTAGTCATACACTGATTCTAAACAGTGATGTTGAAGTCTTGGAATTTTCTTTCAAAAAAAAATAAAAAGGTGCGTGTGTATGTGTGTGTGTGTGTGTCATATTTGAAATTCTATGCAAAGAAAATGAAATACAGCATAAGTTACAATGTTTTAACATAACCTAAAAATCACTTAGAGAAGGAATTTAGAATCATATTCAGAGTTGATGAATGGGTGTAAGATAAAATGCATATTCAATTCGAGAAACCTTTACCAGAATTAAGTATGACCACAGAAAGAAGGAAAATACAATGGATCTTTAGATATTGTATGGTTTCCCAGGGATGCTAAATTTTGTTGCATTAATGATCAAAGGATTTGGGGAAATGTTGAATATGGAGGCATGATTAGATGAGGAAAAGAAAAAATACATATATGTATACACCATTCTGTTCCCTAGCTCCAGAAACCTCTTCACAGCTAAACAAGGAGTCTGTGAATTATACTTTCACTTGACGTTACTGTAGTTTGGTTGACTCTCCTGACAAAAAAATATTATGTAGTGAATTGAATTGACACACCTCTGAGTTTTCACTAGTATTTGTGCCATAGAGCACAAATATAGAGCATTTGCTCAACAAATTATAACTTAATTTGAATAACCATTTTTAGGGTTTGATTTATTGTAGCATTTATAGCACTGCCAGTAACTTATTCTGTAGTCCAATGCTGATTGAGATGTTTTTTTACTTAGCTTATGAGGTCTTTTTTTTTTGAGACAGAGTCTGACTCTGTTGCCCAGGCTAGAGTGCTGTGGCGTCAGCCTAGCTCACAGCAACTCAAACTCCTGGGCTCAAGCGATCCTCCTGCTCAGCCTCCCGAGTAGCTGGGACTACAGGCATGCGCACCATGCCCGGCTAATTTTTTCTATATATTTTTAGTCGGCCAATTAATTTCTTTCTATTTATAGTAGAAGACGGGTCTTCTTGCTCAGGCTGGTTTGAACTCCTGACTGAGCGATCCTCCTGCCTCAGCCTCCCAGGGTGCTAGGATTATAGGCGTGAGCCACCACACCTGGCTGGCTTATGAGGTTTTAACAAACATCATTCTCTGTGGAACCTAAAGCACTGGCTAAAAGAACTTCCATGCTGAAAAGTTGAGACGAAGAGGAACGGCCGTAAGGACAGATTGATGAGGGAGGAGGGTGCCTGAGAGTGGAGAGCATGCGTGAGAACTCAGGTGGGCTCAGGTTCAAGCCTGGGCTCGCGGGCACTGGCCTTGTGAACTTGGCAAAGGTGCTTGACTTTTCTCAGCTTCTTGGGTTGTTGTGATGCTTAAGAGACAAAATTCAAGCAGAAGTCTTGACGTAGTGCCTGGCACCCGTCCAACACTCAATAAATATTAGCAACTAGTAATAACAAAATATCATTTCTGAATCATTCTTTTAAAAACATAAATCTCTAGAAATTGTCCTCTTTGTTTTGGTAATTTACCCCTTCTCTTTTTCAAGATACAGATTGAAATACGATGCATCCTGTATTTCCTTTTAAAAAAAAAAAACACGTTCATTTCTATTCAACAGCTTGGAATTACATTTTCTGATACATCTAACATGTATGTAGTCTGACGAATAGTGTTTTTTCTGTTGGAAACATTTCTAGCACAGGTGCTCTAGAATCCATAGTTCCTTTGTTTAAAAAAAAAGAAACACATAGCGTTTCACCGTTCGCCTCATTTCTATAGCAAATATAAGATGAATTGTAACTTCCTTTAATGCAATTTTCTATATTGTTTGTTTTACGGATTGTGGTGGCAACAAGCTATCAAGGACAATGGTACACAGTGGTGTTTGCAACTGTTGGTGGAGCTGGTACAGGTGACTTTGAGATTCCTCCTTTTTCTGTCATCACGTTGTTGATTTCTCGTTTATGTTCATGGGTCCGGCGGCTTCCATTACGCTCGAGAAAAATTTCGATCTCCTTGTCAGGGCCTGGAATATTTTCTGCTTGGCTCTTCTTCCAAAGTTGTTATCACTGATGTTTGATTTCTCTCTTGCATTTACTCGTAGTCAAAAAATCATCCAATGATTACTTATCAATCAATCAATCAATCAGGTGCAGCTGCTGCTCTTCCTTCTCCTCCTCTTCATCTTGTCATGTGATTCTTGCTGCTCTCTGACGGGAGGACTTTTAGTTATTAGTCTTAATCAGGGTACATCCATGACTTAAGTGTTTTTGCAGACGGCAAGATGCTTATGTCTTATGGATCATAAGCCTTTTTCAGGGCGAGGACCCTGCTTCCTCGTGGGATCTCGAGCTCAGCAAATTCTCCTCTCCCCACCTGCTTTTTATTTCTCCCTGAGTTCAGTGACAGTTTCCACAAGCCGCCTACCGCAACCCACGGCCATGGTTAAACCGCCAGTCTAAATGTTTCCCTGATCACCTTTTCTGCCCTGGCTCCTGGCTTCCAAAGATTCACAACGTCTTAATGACTTGTACCGTGTTTCCCCGAAAATGAGACAGGGTCTTATATTTATTTTTCCTCAAGAGGACACCCTAGGGCTTGTTTTCAGGGGATGTGTTTTGTTGTTGTTGTTGTTGTTTTAAGTACGGTACAACAACCTGCATTGATTCAAATATAGTTAAGTCGTCTTCTTCCGGAACATCATCCTAACTCTCCGAAAACTGAATCCCATCCTGAATTTCTTGTGACTCTATTTCCTTTAGAACCACTGGCCCCAATCTCTCATGTGGAGCCATAGAGCTCTCACGGGGCAGATGAGAAGGGCTGCTCGTGCTCTTTCCTGCTCCGAGACGACATGCATGGGTTGTGCAGACGCGCTGCGCAGCCACGCCCGTCACTAGGGCTTATTTTCGGGGTGGGGCTTCTATTGCGCACATGCCCAGAAATCCTGCTAGGGCTTATTTTATGGGTAGGTCTTATTTTCGGTGTTTCATGGACCTTTCCCCCACCCTCCCAACTTTCTTTTGGGATACATCTTCCCTCATATGGGACATTATCTCTCACTTGCTTTCCTTTTAGTCTCCTGATTTTCCTGACCCCCCCCTCCCCCCCTGCTTTGCCTTCCGGTAATCCAGGTTTCATTTTACAAAAACGTCGACATAAAATTCTAACGCTTCTCCATCAGACTTTCTATAAAGAACATCCCTCCAGTGGCTATCTAAAGCCTGTATTTAAAAATATCCCAGATTTTTATCACTTTAGGACTAAGCTAGTTATTTGTAATCCTTCAGGTCATAGTTTAAGTGAGTCCAAGAAACCCTCTCTAACACTTGCTCCACCAGCTGGCCACCAACTCTGGCAGCCCAAATAAGGTGTATGTGCTCGTATAGCATGTTCCGTCTTGCCTGCCTTCACACCATATGGATGTTTACTTTTGGCCTATATCTGACACAAAATTGAGCTCATGGCAGGTAGCAAATTTCTATATATTGGTCATATTATATCTCTAACATGTGGCATAATGTTTAGCACGTAGTAGGCGCTCGATAAATAATCACTATCTAAATAAATGAATGCATTTGGGAGAAAAATCTTTTCAAAAGTCTTTCCAAAGACTGTTGCAGGCTTGAAATTAATCTCAATAGTTCCCCTTTAGTTCATTATTTTTCTTATTTTGCCTGGGAGTTGAGAAAATCATAACATAGTTTTGACATACTTGGGCTTTATAAAGATACTATGAGAGGGAATATAGTTTTATTAGGGTAAAAGGCACTGAAAATTGCCACTTTGTGAATGTTCTAATGTAGAGATGATGTATATGTAAATATCTAACATATATTTACATGCATATATATGAAATTTGAAACTTTCTAAGATATTTTTGTTTTTCTCTTTGCAGGGCAAACCTCACCTAATCCCATTATTGGTAAGGATTAATATTTACATTTTACTTACTTATTTCCTTATTACAAAGTTTATATATTTAATGTTGATAAAATTTTCTATTATTATTCAGTGAAATCGTTTTAAGGATGAATTTTTATAATCATGAATGGTTCTTGACATTCAATTGTTTTTAAACTTTATGCTTACAAGACATAAAGTTTAATAATTACCTGAACAAACATATTATTCTATTCGTGTATGTATTATTGTGTAAAAAGAATAATTTTACTAAACTTCATAGTAAATCACTTGGCAGGATCCCAATCTCTTAAAATATATTAACACTAAAAATACACACATTTAAGTTAGATCACAAAACTTTTTAGTCCAAAAGTGGGTTAAGAAATTATCTGAGAAATTAGATGTATAAACATAATCACATATATATAATTTATATATAATTTTTCAACAGTAATTTACCTTTTCAAAGATATGCAAAAGCTTTGAGACTATTAAGTTATTTTGTAACAATCATTTCCAAATTATACTGGTATAATTGAATTAATAGTCTTAACAAGTATCTTAATCCTGAGAGAAATTAAATTTAAACAATAAACATGCTGCAAAGTCATAGATATTACATGCAAAACAAGAGAGAAAAATTAAATTGCATGTGGGTTAAAGATAAATCACATCACTCAAATGTTATTGTTATTGAAAATGTATTACTATTTATTTCCTGATTAATCATCTGCGTGACAGTATATGTTCAGAGGGTAAGTAAAAACCACTCAGACAATTCTGATTTAATAATTATGATGCACATTTTTAAGTGAGGCACATTTGACACATTCTGAAAATTGAATTATTAAAGGAATTATTTTTGTCATTAAGTAAAATTTTTTTCCAAATGATGGAAACAAAGAGCTATGTAAACACCAGCAAAAAATGCTGCTGAATCTGCCGCATAGGAGATGATCAAAGCATATCATCTTATTTTTTAAAAAGATCTAATGCGAGTTTTATGTTATGGCAGATTGCAATCGGTCTATACTACCTACTCAAATGCGACTTAGCATCTCCACCTTTTAGAGAAGATTAAGTTCATGTCAACCATAGCAACTGGTTATTTTTGCAGGAGAGGGGTGGGTATCAGTTAGAATTGGAGTAAATGTTTAAAAATGGTAGATGACTCGTCCCATTATTGAGGGAGTTTCTATTATTGCACTAACTCTATCACAACAAGCCTTCCAATGATGAAACCAGGTAAGTTAAACTTGTGACCCGGAATGCAAAGGAGAATGTTCTTTCCCAAATATTGCAAACAACTATGTAATCAGTGGAAACCGGTGGTATCTCCAAAGGGGAGGTTCAGCTACAACGTGGAATTGACAAACATGTTTTCTAATCTTCAACTAAACTCTTATTTGTGGAACCAGGGAATGTGCACTGAGTTTAAGATGTGTGCAAGGATGTTGAGAAGTTCCCTGGACATCTTTCTTCATACACCTGGGACTGCGTTTGCTTGATGACTAGGAGAAATATTTAGGAATGGCCCTCTCCAAAATAGCACAGCACTGTTACATGTGGCATTTGCAGTGATCTCCTTTCTATCCTTCGCAATTCAAATCTAACAGCAGTGGGGGTGGATGACAAAGTACATTACCCTCAAAGCAAAAGGGGTCACTGGGACTCTGCCAACACCAAAGTTTTGGTTTAACTTAAAAATGACAAATTAATAATAGTCAAATCCATAATGACGACAGTGAATTAATGTTAATGGAGAGAATTTTAAATTCCTTCCTTCTAGTCTTTCTTCTTCTCCTCCCATCCCTCCCTCCTTCTTTCCTTTCTTCCTTTGTTAGTTCCTTCCTTCCTTCTGTCCCCTCATATTCCTCCTTTCTTTTCTCCCACCTCCCCTCCTTTTCTTTCATTCAATGCATTATCAGAGGAGAGAATACTGAAGCTAGCCTTGATTGAAGACTGGTGGTAGCCACTTGTGCATTATTGGATACATTGGCATGTAATCGTGGGTGGAAGTTTATTACTAGATGGATTTATTTGTGAGTTACTGGATCATAAAATTCTAGAAATTGAAATTTTTCATTGGAAAATGACACACAAAACAACTGCACTGTCATTTTGGATTTGTGTGATCACAGAATAGTTCTGCAGTATTTCATACCACCCTGGCACTGGGGCAGTTCACTATGATTCAGTTGGCTTTTGTCTGTATTTCGTTAAGATTCACTTTACCTTTGATATTAATGCACGAATGAGTTCTTTGTATCATTTCTATTTCCATTTTCTTAATTCCCTATTTACTAATATCTCAGTTTTCATTCTTAACTCTTTCCCTTCTTACCACGTCTACTCCCATTCTTTCCTTCTTCCCAATCTTTCTTTTGCCCAATCTTGTTCAGCTGAATTAATTAAAATATTTTTTGTGATGTAACTCAGCTTTTGATTACTTAAATATATAAAAATATACATTTTGCTATTCAAAGAGGTAAATATACAGTAAACATAGAAGCTTTAGGAAAAAACTGCAACTCTATAATCCCAACATCCAGAGATTGCATGACTTGGGAAAAAAAATGGGTGTTATTTCTCTATTCTTTTATAAAGAACTACACTTGTTTTCAGCAAAAGAGTGAGCACAAAATAATTTAAAGGCTTTTAGTACATGGTGCTAATTTGTCCTGCAGAAAGGTTTTGCCATTGTACACTCATACCAACGGTTCATTTACCTCTCTCAGTATCACCTTGTTTTATTTTTCCTCTTTGTAGAGTAAACTTTAAGCTGTGGTAAATGTTATTTCAGTATCTTGCTTTGTGTTTATTTTGTTATCATGAAGTTGAAGACATTTCTGTGGACTATTTCCATATAGTCTGCATATGTCTCTGTATGCATTTATGTATATATGCGTGTGTATATGATCTATACATTTATAAATGTATACACACAATATACATACATATATATATATATATATATATATACACCATATATCACATACGTATGGTGTATTTGTGTGTGTGTGTGTGTGTGTGCATACACACTGGGGAGTTAGTCCATTGAGACAACCCTGTGTTTCAGGATATGACTCACATTTATTTTCTCCTTCTTCCATCTCCTATCAATATAACAGGACTGAACACAACTGAGAAGCCCAGTGCTCTGTCTCCAAGTGGCCCCTTACCTGCTCGCACCACTACACTCTCACCTGCAAGCATCTCTGAAAGAGACAATGACTCCTCAGAGCCCACTCCTCCTCCTAGTCCAGGAGATACTTCAACCCATGTATCCCCGGACCCTTTGGATAAGCCTAGTGCTCTTGCTATGACAGGTTGGCAGACAAATGTTCGTGGAAGCGATCCTGGGAAAAACTTGTCTTTTGTAAATTCTGAAGTTAGCAGAGCAAGGTTTTCTTTGAACTATGTGTGCAGTGTTTCGAAGTACGCGATTTCTATGCAAGTGTCGGAAGTATTAAGTGCCCATGAAATATTGGTCGACTGAAGTCGTACATGCATGTCGTTAGAGAGGGGAGAGAAAAAGGGAAGGAGAGGAAACTGCCTGGTAAAATCAAGAGGGGAGAGTTGCTCTCGTGTTCTGTGATCTGCACATTCTGCATCATTCTCCCGGCTTCTGCTCACTTAGGTTCCCTGCAGCCCCGGGCAGGTTGGAGCTCCTTGCTTTCAAACAAAAGATCACAGTTTCTTTTCTAGAAAATAATCTTGCTATCAGGTGGTATTTCAGCTGTCCACTGAGATGAGGCTATATGCTTCCGTTATGTTTAAGGTTGAGTTAGATTATGGAATGCAGTAAAATTTTTCTTACTGAAATTAGGGAAATTAGGGAAATTTAATAATTTAATAATCTGCTTTTCAAACAATATTATATACACCATCCAAAACTGTTCAGTTTTTTGAAAGTGATTATAATAAGCATCCTTATGCATAACATTAAATTTCAATGTGTAATAGTGTTTTTATAAACATAGCTTACAAATGTTGTGAAACATCAGTGTAGAAGTATGTGTGCGTAGATGTGTGTGTATATGTATATATATTTTATATATGCTTTACATATACTTTACATACACACACATGCAATAAAAATGCCACCCCTTAAATTCTGTTCTTTAAAGATACCTTTTTAACTATTACTGTTTATCCTCCAGGCTCTGGGCATATGATTTTGTGAGTGTGTATATATGTGTGTGCATAGTTGTATAAGCACACATGTGTGTGACAGCTTCCATGTTTCCATGCCTTTTCCCACACTATATATTAGCAATCTTTTAAAACTCTGCCAGCAAGATAGTTAAAAAATATTTCATATCAATTTACATCTTTTAAAAACATTTTTGATAATGTTAATCATCCTTTCATATACTTTTTGGCCACTGTGTATATTAGATGTCTGTTACAACTCTTGTCCTTCTGTAAATTTCTTCTTTGTGACTTGTAAGAGACACTAACATATTGAAGGATCCCTTTCTTAATTCTGCCTACAAAGAAACGTCCCAAATGTCAGTTTGTAGAGTTGATGGAGAATCAACAAACGACAACAGCAACAAACAACTCATAATGATGTGGAAGTCAAAAAAATCCTTCTGGAAACATAAATCCTCTGTTGGCTGCATCCAGCTCGGGGTGGGCGCCTCCCAGGAAGGTGCAGATAGAGAGCTCAGGCGCCAGGTTTATTGCAAAGCAATGCAAACGCTGGCAGACAGGTGGAGGCACTCCACACGTTTGGTGAACTAGAACAGCAGTTTGCGCCTTAGAACCTCTTAGCGCTTAAGCTTTCCACCACCTGCGAGGGGAGAGACTGATGTAACGCTCTCACTTTCTCACCCAGGTGCCACACCTGCACAGACGCCTCACCTGCCCACGCACGCAGACTCGCAGGCGCCCCCTGGCGGAGCTGACACGCAGACAGGCAGCCCGGCTGCCCTCACCGCACTCACCCCTGCCCCCGGCGGGAATGACACCACCCCAGGTTTGCGGGTCCCTTAGGCCTGTGTAGATGCGAAGAGTGCAAATATGACAACTGCCTGTAGTTAAGAGTGGTGTGAGGAAATCCAGCCGCTTGCTCGGCGTGTTAGAATGTGATAGCTGATGAGTTTGGAATTCCGCAGGTACTCTTAGGATGTGAAACTGTGTAACCAAGTTCCTTTTAACGGAGATGAGCGAATAACAAAAACTGTGACTGCAGCAAAAAATTTGCTAAGGGGGAAAGAGTTGTTCGGGACGCTCTATACGTTTATATTTTGAGCAATGATCATGGTATAGTGAAAACTTCTTTTAGCTAGTCACAAAAATAATATACATAAATCTTTGCTTTAAGACTTCATACCAACAAACAAAACGATGGAGAGTAGATGACTCCCATCATCAATGCAGAGCGCTGAGACGTTGTAACCAGGACAAAATTGCTATTTAAAGAATGAGAAGAAAGAGTGAATAGATGCTAATTATTTCTCACGCAGACGTCGAGATTCTTTCAGCTTAGCATCTCCTGAGTTTATAACGATGCAAAATGTTCCCTCCCTTGACTTTCCAAAGTCAGAACCTAAGTCACTTCAGGGTGCCCCCCCCTTTTTTTTCCTTATGCGGGAAAAACAACGACGTCCTTTCTCAGATCGCAGATCCACACAGTCAGGTGTATACCTGCAGCAACTCGAGTGCCAAGGTAT